AAAAGGGAGCAAAGGTCTAGATGTTTCCCATACGTGTGTGTGTGTGTGTGTGTGTGTGTGTGTGTGTGTGCGCGCGCACATATATATGTGCACTGGTCCAGGGGTGTTGCCTGCACCTATACTGAGGAGGGTCTGAGATGTTTCTTTGTATATGCCTCTCTGTGTTGGATACGTAGCAAAGCATGTTTTTTGGTTTGGGTTTTTTTTTTTGACACTTTTTTAAGAGAAAATTTTTATTTTATACTGGTTTATTTACAAAGTTCATATACATTGTTTTTCACACTGGATCTCTCCCATTTCCTTTACCCTCCCCTCTCTCCACCCATCAAATTTTATGATCTTATGATTACCACCTTCCCACCCATCCTCATCCCTCTGCTCTGCCCTTCCCCCCCTTGGTTCCTTATACACATTTTACTATTTATCTATTTCTACAATAATGACATTTTGACAACTTTAAGTTGACCTATATAAAAGGAAAGAAAATAGTTTTAACCCTGTAGTCAGAACTTTCAACTAGGTATGCCCACCTGTTCTGCTGTTTTGATTCAGCTTTTCCAATAAATCAGATAATAAGGAACTTATATTAAAAAAATAAAAAATTGATTTGCTTAGTATCAAAAATATTTTCGTTCTCTTACTGGTTTGTTTTAATTAAGTTAAAATAATGAACAATTTTAATATATTTATAATAATATATAATAAACTTACTATATGTTAAGATATATATAAAAGTGCCCCTGCTAATATTTTAATATCAATATTGAGAGAAACCAGTAAATGTTTTAAGAAACAGGGAATTTATAAGTGAGTCTAATTCTAGTGACAGTTCAACAAAGAAGTAGACTGACCTCTGGGATTTATAACTTGTAAAATTACCATTGACTTCAGGAATATGAAGTAGCATGGAGTGGCCTATGAGATTTGGAGAATAGACATTAGAGACAGATAGTATAGATAAATCATGAAAAAGAAAGAAAGTAAAAAATTAAGAATAAAATTAAAAATGTTAATTGAAAAAGAAAATATTTATCTGAAGTAGGAAAGGAAAATCTGATGAACAAAGAGAGGAGTATTTTGAGTATGCTAGTCTAGAGAGGTCGAGAGAGGGCAAAATCTAGAACACAAGTCAAGTTGGCAAAGAAAATTTGTCAAAGAAAGTTCATTCAAAGTAAGAACAGGAGACAGAGTATATGAGAAAAGATGCTAGATTTTTTTTGTGGAGTTTTCTTATTGATTACAAAGTTCATATATATTGTGTTTTACACTAGTCTTCATTCACATTATGTTTCATACAATCATTCTCATGCATTATGTTTTATAAAATTAATCGGACCTTGCCCATAATTACCCTGTATTTTCTTCACCCAGATCCTTCCCATTCCTTTTCCCTGTCCCTTACTTTATATATATTGTAGCAATAATTTTTGCAAGTTATTTCCTAGTTGCTTCTATTTCCTTAGTGAAATGGGATTCAAGGTCATTAGCTACAATTTAAGTTTTGTGGGTTTTTAAAAATTATTATTAATTTTAATGAAAATTTAGAGACTTTAGATTTCCATTCATTCATTGTTGCACTTTTCTCCGTGCCCACCCTCCCTCCCCCCCGAAGTACACTCTTCTCTATGAAAAGTAAAGGAAAAATTCTTTCACTGTTTTACAATGCCTCCCCCCAGGTCCACTGCACTATGCAGCCTTCACTCGGGACTCCTGTCATGAGAAAAATACCTAATCACATATCCCTTTTAAACAGTTTTCTCCCTCATCTGTTTCAATGCAGTATACATTATTTATCCCATCTTTCTCCGTCTCCTCCCAACCCCAATGTCAGTCCTATTTTACAACAGTGGCACTATGTAGTATTTGTCCTTTTGTGACTGAGATATTTCACTCAGCATAATGTCTTCCAGGGTCACCCATTTTGAATAATATTTCATGAATGCCTTGTTTTTCAATGCAGCATAATATTACATTGTGTGAATATACCAGAGCTTCTCTATCCATTCGTTTGTTGATGGGCACTTGGGTTGTTTCCAACTCCTTGAGCAAAGCATGTTTTATGTGTGTGTCAAAAAGTCACTACCATCAAGTTGGAACTAACTCATAGTGACCTTCCAGCAAATTTGCAGGAGGCTATAAATCACATGGAAGCTGAGTGCCCATTTTTTAAGATAACTACCCATCTTTCTCCAATGGAACAGAGGATATGAAGTGCCAGAGAGATACCACCTTTTCGTTAGCAGCACAACTCCCCATGAACTATACAACCAGAGCTCATAATCCTTAGACAGTTTTTTTTCCTTTTGCCTAACAGGTATAGAATATAACAATCTATTTCTAGAATGACTTTCCTCTATGGCCAAACAGATATAAGATTTGATATTCATAGCTTATGTCCAAAGGATCTTGATGTACAGCATTATTCAAGATTTTTACAATGGACCCCCAGAAATAAACATGATTGAAAAAACAAGTTTAACATGTTCATCCCCAAAATCTGTCTTGCTATTATCTTTATTATTTTTTTAAGTGTGTGTGTGTGTGTGTGTGTGTGTGTGTGTGTGTGTGTGTACACCACCAAATCGGATCCAACTGGCACAGGAGGAGATTGCCCCTCCTTATCCAGCAGAGCATCTGGTGGATTCAAACTGCATTATCTTTAGGATTGCAGTGCAGATTGTTGCCACTAGGCCACCAGAGCTCCTCTGTCCTGCTATTATAACTGTCTTATGACTATGACTCAGGGTTCCATGATAATGAATTGATCCCAACTACTAGGTAGCTAGGTGATTAAAACCTCAGAACCAATATTAGAACTTTTTAAAACCTACAATTATGCAAACATTCCATTCTCCTACTCCTGTAGTCCCACCTGCAACAGTGATTAATTTATCCACCACAAATCATGATCTTGTGATTTTGTCTTCTGTCATCTATAATGTATCCCATGATCAGCAGATTAAACTAGTTTGTGTACTGAGTTCATGTTTATGACTACCCTCATTCAGATAACTGTCTTTGTCTTGTTTAAGATCTCTTCCCCTACACATTAGAAATGGTGCATGTGCTTGTGAATGTTGAATTTGTATCCTGTTCTGTAAGTTTAGTATGTCTCTATTTTATTGCTGTGCTTCTGATGGTTATCTCTGTGTTGCATTTGTAACCCTTTTTGGGTTTTATATGTCCCTCTCTTGCGTGTTTGGACAAATGGCTGTATGCTGTGCCCCAGAGATTTTATACTTGGACCAAGAGGCAGTCATCAGAACAGTGCAAGGAAACACTGCATGGTTCAAAATTGGGAAGGGAGGACGCCAGAGATGTGTCCTGTCTCCACACCTTTTCAATCTGCATGCAGAACAGATTATCCGGGAGGCTGGGCTCTATGAGGAGAAATGTGGGGTCAAGATTGGTGGAAGATCTATCAGCAATCTGCGTTATGCAGATGACACAACCCTGCTTGCTGAAAACTGAAGAGGACCTGAAGGGCTTGCTGCAGAGGTTCAAGAACTGCAGCCTCCAATATAGATTGAGGCTCAATGTCAGGAAGACAAAGATTCTCACCACTGGACCAATTGGCAGCATCAGGATGGATGGTGAAGAGATTGAGATTGTTCACAGCTTTAGTCTGCTTGGCTCCATGGTCAACACTCTTAGCACCAGTAGTCAGGAAATTAAAAGACATATTGCCATGGGAAAGTCTGCTGTTAGGGACCTCTCCAAAGTACTGAAGAGCAGTGGTGTCTCTCTGGAGACTAAGGTGTGTCTGATATAGGCCATGGTCTTTGCAATCACTTGTTATGCATCAGAGAGTTGGACAATGACTAGGGAGAATAGAAGGAGAATTGATGCCTTTGAGCTGTAGTGCTGGAGAAGAGTATGGACTGCTAGGAAAATAAACAGATTCATCCTGGAGAGGGTTAAAAGGCTGCCCCTTGGAGGCAAGGATTCTGAGGCTCCGTCTAACATACTTTGGACATGTTGTAAGGAGGGGACCGGTCCTTGGAGAGGGACATCATGCTTGGTAGGGTGGAGGGACAGCGCAGGAGGGGAAGACCCTCTATGAGGTAGATTGATTCAGTGACTGGGGTAATCGGATGGGAGTGTCAGAGACAGTGCGATTGGCACAGGAGAGAGCAGAGTTTAGGGCTGTTGTACATAGGGTCGCTATGAGTCGCAGGTGACTCGACGCCACATAACAAAAACAACAACTGGGAAATGAGGCTGGTAGAGCTTGCAGCTCTGTTAAGTACTGTGTGGTGGGTCTCTATGTAGTTCTGAAGATGTGCTCTGGACACTGTACTGCCTTCAGGTCCTTCTCTCATTTGTGGCTCAATAAGCATTGGCATATCTAGATTTGGGTGTATTGATCTGAGTGTTTGTGTGGGTTTCAGGGCTATGCATGTGTATGTATGAACAAAGTTTGCATGAATGGCGTGGTATGGGATCCTTTTGTTATATGCTCATTATCACCATTCTTACATCTTTATTATTTACTCACCTATAAAAATTAAATCCCAATTTAAAAAAAAGTTCCTTTTCCTGGAAAAATTCCCAACCCTTATCTCATGCCTTTGCCTGGGAAAGCATGGGCAGGAATTCTGGACGTATGGGGTGATGGGAGGGGAAGATGGGAAAACAGGGCTCTAGGGTTGATTTTAGGCTCAGGGGCACTGTGTAAACCCATCTCTCTCTGATATGCCTCTTCTGGGAAATAGTCTGTAATGTTGCTTCTACCAGAGTGTTTCCCCTCAGTACCAACCCCAGTCCTGGTGCTCAGCCCTTCTGTACTAACCATGCCACCTCTTTCCATCCTACCCAGCTTAGCAGCACAACATACCCTGTGGTTGTCAAGATGGGGCATGCACACTCTGGGATGGGCAAGGTGAGTCCTTGGGTGGGGTGCATGTGTTTATACATGTTACATGCATCTGATATTGTGTGTACATGTGCACTTAGTAATCCTTGGGTATCTTATTTGAATGTTTTTTCCATTCATCTGAGTTTTTTTAAGACCCCTTTTTTCATGCCTAAGTTTAGCCAGCTTTGTGGGTTCTATTAGTGTAGCCAATTATTATCTATGTGTGTATATACATGCCTGTGTTAAACACGAATAACTATGTTCAAGGGTCTTGGAATCTGTGTATGTATTCCATTGGTCTGTTTTGTCTGTTTATACATCTAAAAGATTTCTGATTAGTATGCATGAATATGTCAGTTCTTGTGTGTAATACAAATTATTGTATATACAACTGACTTTGTGCCTGTGTGCCCCACTATATGTACTATATATACACACTCAATTGGTTTATTAGAATTTACATATAAACCACCCACACATTTACATTTCAAGTTTCTAGTATATTCACAGGATTATATACACTTAACTTTATGCACATGTGAAAACAGAAGACATGTTTGGTTGCTTTGGTGTGCCTGTTAGTATACTGTGTGTCCACCTAATTTTTGTGTATAAACCTTACCTGTATGTTAAATGTGTACATAGCCCCAATCTCTGAGGTGCCCTTATGCCCCGACTATTGCCCCATACTGACTGGGCTGATCCCACAGGTTAAGGTAGACAACCAGCACGATTTCCAGGACATTGCAAGTGTTGTGGCACTGACCAAGACATATGCCACCGCTGAGCCCTTCATTGATGCCAAATACGATGTACGTGTCCAGAAGATTGGGCAGAACTACAAGGCCTACATGTAAGTGGAGAAACCAAGGTATGGGGATCCCCTGCCCTGTCTCACTTGATCTACATCAAGGCCTTTGGACATCTCTTGCTTTGTTCCCCAGGAGAACATCTGTGTCAGGGAACTGGAAAACCAACACTGGTTCTGCAATGCTTGAGCAGATCGCCATGTCTGACAGGTGAGCAACTAAAATTCAAGGTGAAACAGTGAGGGTGGAAGTGCAGCCACCTAGGCAAGGCACTGACAGGTTTCCCTACTCTGCATCTTGTAGATACAAACTGTGGGTGGACACATGCTCAGAAATCTTCGGGGGACTGGACATCTGTGCAGTGGAAGCACTGCATGGCAAGGATGGGAGAGACCACATCATTGAGGTAGGTGTACAGAGGGAGGAGCAAGTACACAGCAACAACACTCTAGACTGTGGTGTGCTTTGTGGCACAGAAAGTCCTTAGTGAATGGCAAAATGCTTAGTAAACTACCTTGTGAATGGAGACATCTCTGGAAAATTGTAGAACAGTGAACTCTAAACTGCTCTGTAAACTTGGATGTCCTTTAAGAGCAACATAATTGTTAAACTATAAAGTACATAGAACACTGTTGGCCTGATGAATAGAAAGCTCTGCTACCAAGCCAAAGGTGGGTGATTTTAATTTGTGGCCCTCAGGCTTGGTTTTAATTTTTTTTGGTCAAACATTCTTCTAAGTGGTATAGCATTGGTCTGTCAATTTGTTGTACAGAGGTAACTCGTGGTTGCTGTGATGCTAAACACAGTGACACTGATGAGTCAAATGTGTTAATGGTTACCCATGGTAGAGAGTGTTTGGTGGTGCTCCCAGATTAAGACAGGCTTGGAAGCAGAAGTGGCATCCACTTTCGAAAAAGTTTGCCTCCGGAAACTCTATGAACTTAGAGAAAAGATGAAAGTTGTACAAGTGTTCAGGTCTTTTGTCCATAGGGCTGCTATGAGTCTATGACTTGATGGCACTTAACAACAACAACCACATAAAGTACTCTGAACTGTGACATCTTGGTGAAAGGTAAAGCAAATTGTAATGTGCCTTATAAATCAGAGTGTTTGGTGAACAGAAAGTGTTTTGTAAAACTATATATGTATGCATTGTGCATGTGTGTGAGTACACGCACACACACAAACAATCTCTTTAAACTAGGAAGTCATTGTTGTCGAAGCAAAATGCTTGTGGGGCACTTTTTTTAATAAAAAGTTATGTCCTTGATGAATAGTAAAGCAATTGTCAAATGGCATATCATGAAAATCAAGAAGTATCTGGTAAAGAGCAGTATTTTAATACATGATCAAGCATTTTGTAAAAAGTGGTACCTTCTGTAAAAATTATATATCACATATTCCTTTGTAGAGAGCAAAGTGCCCACTGTGGAAGGCGGTATGGCGCTTTCTCAAAAAGTTGCAAATAGAGATACCATTTGACCTAGCAATTCAACTACTGGGAATATACCCCAAAGAGACCGTAACTGACATCCAAACAGATATATGCACACCCATGTTTATCGCGGCTTTGTTCACAATAGCAAGGAGGTGGAAACAACCTAAGTGCCCATCAACAAACGAATGGATTGAGAAGCTGTGGTATATTCACACAGTGGAATACTATGCTGCATTGAAAAACAAGGAACTCGTGCAATATTGTTCAAAATGGGTGACCCTGGAGGACATTATGTTGAGTGAAGTATCTCAGTCACAAAAGGACAAATACTGGATGGTGCCACTGTTGTAAAGCAGGACTGACCTCGGGGTTGGGGGGAGATTGAGAAGGATGGGTCCAAAATGCATACTGCATTGAAACAGATGAGGGAGAAAACTGTTTAAGAGGGAAAATTATTAGGTATTTTTGTCATGACAGGAGTCCAGAGCAAAGGGTGTATAGTGGAGTGGACCTGGGGGGAGGGATTGTAAAACAATGAAAGAATTTTTCTTTTACTTTTTCAAGAGGGTAGTGTATTAGAGGGGAGGGGTGGGAGGGGGAAAAAAGTGCAACAATGGATGAATGGAAATCCAAAGTCTCTGTAAATTTTCATTGAAATTAATAAATTTTTTTAAAAAGAACAAAGTGCTTTGCAACTGTAAAACAAAACCAAATACACTGCAGTTTTAAGTTTTGACTCACGGTGTCTGTCCCTTCCTCAGGTTTTGGGTTTTTTAAAATTTATTTTAATCAAAGTTTACAGAGACTTAAGGTTTCCAGTCATTCACTTTTCCCCCTGCCCACCCATTCCCCTACAATTCACCTTTCTCCTTAAAAAGTAAAATAAAAACTCTTTGTTATGCAATCCCTCCCTCCCCCACAAGTACACTCCACTGTGCAGCCTTCATTCTGGACTCGTCATGACAATAATACACAATCATATATCCCTTTTAAACAGTTCTCTCTCATATCTGTTTCAAAGCAGTATACATCAATCCTCGCCTCCTTTTCTGTCTTCCCTCAACCCCAAAGTCAGTCCCATTTTACAACAGTGGCCCGATGCAATATTTGTGCTTTTGTGACTGACATTTCAGTCAGCATCCATTTTGCATAATATTTCATGAGTTCCTTGTTTTTCAATGCTGCATAGTATTGCATTGTGTGAATATACCAGAGCTTCTCTATCCATTCATTTGTTGATGGGCACTTGGGTTGTTTCCAGCTCTTTGCTATTGTGAACAAAGCCGCAATATATCTGCTTGGGTGGCAGTTATGGTTTCTTTAGGGTAAATTCCCTGTAGTGGAATTGATGGGTCAAATGGTATTTCTATTTGCAACTTTTTGAGAAAGCGCCATACTGCCTTCCAAGTGGTTGCACCATTTTACACTCCCACCAACAGTGAATAAGGGTTCCAGTTTCTCGCCAGCATTTGTTGCTTGCTGTTCTGTTAAATTTTGCTATTCTGACTGGGGTGAGATGGTATCTCATAGTTGTTTTGATTTGCATCTCTCTTAGAGCTAGGGATTTTGAACATTTTTTTTTTCATATGTGTGTTTGCCATCTGAATGTCTTCTTTGGTGAAGTGTCTGTTCATATCCTGTGCCCATTCTTCAACTGGGCTATTTACCTTTCTCTTGTTGTTGTGCTCAAGTATTTTATAAATTCTAGATATATAAGCTCCTTATCTGACATGCCATTACCAAATTTTTTTTCCAATCGGTGGCTTCCCCTTTTACCCTGTTGAAGAAGTTTCTGGATGTGTATAAGGATTTGATTCTTAGAAGGTCCCATTCATCTGTTTTATCCTCTCCTGGTTGTAGATTTTCCAGGATGCTTGGAAGACTCTTTATGTCGTGAATTAGGACTTCTAGAGTTCTTCCAAGCTATTTAATGAAGTACATAGATCTTGGTTTAGGTCCTAGGTCCCTAATCCACTATGAGTTGGCTTTGTGTTTGGAGTGAGGTATGGATCTTGCTTGAGTTTTCTGCAGACAGTTTTTCAATTTTGCCAGCACCATTTGTTTAAAAGGCTGGTGTTTCCCCACTTATTTCATCTCCTTGTAAAAAATCAGTTGACCATAGGTAGATGGGCTGATTTCTGGGGTCTCAATTCTATTCCATTGATCTATGTGTCTGTCATTGTACCAGTACCACACTGTCTCGACCACACAGCAATGTAGCAGGATTTGAAATCAGGGAGTGAGATGCTTCCTACCTTGTTTCTCTTTTTAAGGAGTGCTTTGCATATTCTGGGCCTCTTTCCATTCCAAATGAAATTGGAGATTGCCTTTTCCATCTTGTTAAAGAATGGAATTGGTATTTGTATTGGGATTGCACTGAACGTATAAACTGCCTTTGATAGAATTGTCATTTTCACAATATTGAGTCTTCCGATCCATGAGCAAGAGAAATTCTTCCACCTCTCTGAATAGATCCTTTGTGCTTCTGGTTAGGTTTACTCCTAATTACTTAATCTTGTGATGAGCTATGGTGAAGGGTATTGTTCTTACCAGCTCCAGTTCTATATTCTCTGTCACTGTAGAAAAACCCAATTGACTTTTGTATGTTACTCTTGTATCCTGCCACTTTGCTAAATTGGTCAACTATGTCCAGTAGTTTTCTTGCTGAGTCTTTAGGGTTTTCTAAGTATACTATCATCTGCATAGAAAATTTTACATCCTCTTTGCCATTTGGATCCCTCTTATTTCCTTATCTTGCCTTATTGCTAAGACTTCCACTACAATATTGAATAGGAGAGGTAATAGTGGGCATCCTTGCCTAGTTCCTGGTCTCAAGAGGAATGCCTTTAATCTCTCTCCATTGAGAACAATACTGGCTCTCAGATTTGTGTATATACTTTTTACTATGTTGAAGAAATTCCCCTCTAATCCTATTTTCTTCTGTGTTTTAATCAGGAAAGGGTGTTGGATTTTGTCAAAGGCCTTTTCTGCGTCAATTGATAGGATCATGTGGTTCTTGTTCTTTGCTTTGTTAATGTGAAGAATTACATTGATTGTTTTTATGTTGAACCATCCTTGCATACCTATTAAAAATCCCACTTGGTCATGGTGATTTTTTTTT